ATTTCTCTGCTGGGAACTAATTTAAGCACTTCATGGGAGATTGACATTTTCAGTGCCTTAAACATCCTTAAAAGCTGCTTTGTTCATTGCAAACCATATTTAGTATGACCTCATAATAATGTAGCACACCTCAAGTGTCATGCCTGTCTTTACTATGCACATTGGAGCTGTGTTCATCTGTACTAGACAACTGCACTTCAAGGAAATATATTTTTTTCCTTGATAGGCAATTAGCAGTAATTAGGAAGATTCACTTCAGTAAGGTGTCAACATGAGATTGTTTAAAAAAGTTGAATGTCAGTGGCTTTAAAAGAGGGTTTTTTTTCCCTGACACACAGGTATGGAAAGTGAAACATGAAATGTTAATTTAACTTTTCTGCTTATTATTCATGCACAATATTATTTTGTCATTCAGATACTACTCTGACAGAGTGCAAAGGGTGTTAAAAATAGTGCTGCTAGGATAAAAAGAGGATTAATCTACCATTGGCCAATTAGCCAAAGGGTACTTAATGGTCTCTAAAGGCTACTGAAGTCTAACAACTAGCTAAACCGCTGGCAAAAAGTTCTCTGTATTACCTTCATTTGCTTGACATTTTGTGAAACAGTCAGCTGCTGATAATTTGACTGAAAAAAAAAAATTATAACTCAGTGATAAAGTAGATTTTCCTAAAATTTCTGTAGAATAAATGACAACTTTTACATTTTAGAACTTTTTCTTGCTTTTGAGGGTCTTCTTTTCAGTTTAGGAATAGGATAGGAAGTCACCAAAGACTTCTGTTTCATGTTTTGTCTTCATGTTTTGACTTCATTCCTGGAATACTAAGCAATCAACCACTTAAAGCACTTGCATGAAAAAAACTTTCACTGAGGATTTGGAGTTATTTGCCTTTTCTCTATATTATCACATTAAGTATGCAGCACAGTTGGCTTTTTGGTCTGGTATATATATTTTCATATTTTCAGAAGGCTACATACCATCTTTATTTTTTTTTTTTTTTTTCTGTGACCCATCAGGCAGAGCTAGGTTTTGATTCAAGAGAACAAAACAGGGTCAAGATTAATGGGATTGACTCAATAAATTTTGCCTTGGATATTGTAAATAGATTTATCATTATGTTATAATAACATTTGTTAGAGTGTGCAAAATCATAAATACCTAACTCAGTTCCTGCAAAAAATATGTTTTGAAAACTTCTTTCGTGGTTTCTGTGTGCAACAAGTACATCTTATCTTGTCTATTTTTCATGATCATGCTAAAGCCATGAGATAACAGCACTCTGTTTAAAACCTTTCAGATGAGCAATATTAGATTTTAAAACAGAACTTGGTACAGGAGCTGTGCATATAGTGAATATATCTTTATTACCTATGGTAGGAAGGTTTCTTAGAGAAGACAAAAACAAATATGTTGACTTCAGGTTTCTTGTAGACATCTCTATACACATTGTAATCTTTTTGTCTGCTGGGATTTTCACACAGGAAGCTACATAGCATATATGATTTTTACACATCTGAGGATATCAGTTACAGTTGAATTACAAAATAAGTAGTAAAATAAGGTTGTGTCATTGCCTAAAAAAGTTTTCAAGAATACCTGATTCATATCCTGTTTTATATTTTTTTTTAGAAATAACTTCCATTTAATATATTCAGCAGGCATAAATGCATGGCATCATGTACAGCAGTGACAGTGCAGTATCAATCAACAACAGAAATGTCATTTTCATACATGCCAGCTGGAGAAGGAGGGTGACTTTGCTGTAAACTGAGGTAGAAGCTCCTCACAGTGTTGTGATGCGAAAGAGCAATAGGCCATTCCAGGAGCTTCCTACATTAATCCATTTGGCCTGCCACGAATCTGTCTTTCTGAGCGGAAAGCTTAAGGTTAAAAGCCTTGCTGAGTCACTTGAAGTTTTACATTGAGTGCACAGAAACTGAGATTTCATCACTTATCCTTTAGTGTACAGCAGAACAGAGTGTCATGGGTATACCAGGAGCAAGGAGATTAAGATAGATGGATGTTAAAATATTGAATCTATAAACATCTGTTAAGCCAAAACACTCTGGAGGAGGTGCAACAAACAAAGACGCTGCATCGTGGAGGAACAGCGGTAACCTGACTTTACCAACATCTGGTCTAGCTGGTGTTTAAGATTCTGCCTTTCATCCTGGTGACCTCTTCCCCTGGAGTAAATCCTTTTTTACTCTGTCACTCAGGATTTATGTGCATGGTAGCACACACACACAAAAAAAACCCCAACTCTGTGTCTAAAAAAGAAAAAGAACAAAAGACTTGACCTAAAACTTAGCGAGCGAAGAGGGACGGCAGGGTAATGAACTTTCTTCTTAAGCAAATGAAAAGAAAGTATTTTAGGCATTAGTATCTTGTCACAGCAGGGGGACTGTTTTCTACATCCTACTCATTTATATAGGCTTTTCACATACCCCTTCAATATATGTGGAATAGAAGAACAGCGCAATACAAGAATCAACCTTGTAACAACATTTACATTGTCTCCAAGGATGTTAAGAGACAACCTTCTTGATGCCTCTGATTGCAATTGCATGGCTGTCTTTGTCTGCAAGTTGGGGGTGTCTTGCACTTCATTTATTGCTGTCACTTCACCCCCATAGTTCTGATGCTGTTCCTGAGTTTCTGTACATTCATATTTTAAATGCTTTTTTCCTACCTCCTCACTTAAATAAATGCTATAGCCGATGTAACACTATCCTCTTTGGCACCCACCCCATGAAAGCCCTTTCTTTTTCAATATATTTGCTGTCATTTTTGGGAATGTGACCACTACAATCATGGCATTTTAGACCAGATCAGATTTTGGCAGCAGCAGTAGCCTAAGAAACTTCTTGGAGTCATGAGCTATCTTGGGCAGATATGGGGGCATTTCTAATTTTAATCAGAGATATTGATTTAGCTCTGATTTTTTTTTCTTTTCTTTTTATGAATAATTTATTATAGAGATACTGAATCGTGAAATTCTACATGTAGAAATATTTGCTATACTGAGCAAATGAACCTCATGTCTTTCTATACTATATCTTTCTGTACTACTATTTTTGCTTATTAAAGTAGTCTGCATTTTGTCTTTTACTCAGACTATATTAATTGTGAGAATAACAGATTAAGGAACAGCCAATTAGAAATGACATTAACACTATTAATCTCTTGTTCTATAATGACAGCAGATGTAGAAGAGAGTAGAAAGATTAAAATAGAAAGATTAAATCCTTTACTGAGAATAGTACTTACCTCAGATACAAGTGTAAACTGCCTGTTGGTTTTAACAAATCCTGTAGGTATGAAAGTAGATTAAAAATGCACTGTTAGAGTTTTAGTTTTAAATACAGGATGCATTTTGTTGTATCAATGATTTTTTTTAAAATATTGCAAAATCTACAAGCATTCTCATGTCATTAGTAATGGGAATAAACATGATCATAAGTAGTTTTATTTGGATATGTGTGATCTTCAGATGATTGGTGTGGAAGTGCATGTGTACATAAACAGATGTGTATAAAGTTTTCCTAGTAATATCAAGCAGTATAAAATCTGGTTTTGAGTTAAATAAAATGCTTGGAAATAGAGTACTGTCTTTAACTTTGTCTTACCCTTTTTTTTTTTTTTTTATGTACCAGCATATAATCAGGCACACATTTAGTCATTTCAGGCTGTGGTATCTTTTCCAATTTATCAGAATTCTCCACTAAGGAAGGGTTTTTTTGCCATTTGAGAGATTTCAATACCATTCTGTGTAATTATTCTTTATGCTAAACTACTGTATTACAATTCTTTTGAATAATGATATAGTACTGTAGTTCCCTTCTTAAGGAGAAGGGAGTCGTTACATCTTTGGTGGTTTTTGACTGACTGTAGGTTCATGAAAATTAACCACTAGCATGAAGATTATTTTAGTTCCCCTTTTCCTAGGGATAGTTCATAGCCGAATGTAAACAACAGTCAACATTATTTAAATTTAAACAAATACTTTATTTAAAGGATTACCGCTATAAGGAGTATTATGAAATATATTGTTACAAAGATGTATGTATACAAAAATGAATGTCTTGTCAGTTGTCAATCAAATGCAAGAAGACTGAGAGTTTGTTTGCATGTTATTTATTTGAACTAAATCCCTGACAAGCCTCGTCTGCTAATTGGACTTAGCATTTATGTTGCTAAATGAGAAGCATTTTGGCTGCAGTATAGGGTGGTAAGACCTACCCAGTGGAATAAACAACTAACATCTGTTATCCTGTCCTGCTCCAGCTTGGCTTTTACCACTTAAGTGCCTCAGCCCTAGAGTCAAGGTTATGGAATATGTGATGTGGTTCTCTGGCTGTGGTGTATATATGTGAAAGGGAAGAAATAACACAACATGAGTAGAGACCAGCCAACCAGAAGATATTTAGTGCAGCTGGTCCACTTTGCTTTAACCTCTACAAGCCCTACAAATATCAAAACAAAAGCCAAGAGAATGTTGTATGCTTTATAACAGTTGTCAACACAGCAATTCAAGTGAGCTTACAGTGGTCACCATTAAAACAGATTTGACATTTAACCACCTTTTATATGCTTTCGTCTCTTAGATACCTGGATATTTCTTCATGCTCTGTGTAGAAATAATTGCTGTGTCCCAGAGAGGCTCTAGGTAAACAGGTTTCAACAGTAACTACAGTTACAGTTCTGTATGATAATTTTTTTGCCTGTCATTGTAAAAACAGCAAGGTGTACAGTCAAAATTGAATTAGCTTGCCTTTTAAAAAAATTGCTTTCTTATGTTAGTTGACTTCTCTTAGCTGCTGGATTTGATCTTTGCATGTACTAGAGGATTCAGCCAACAGCTATGCAATATAATTACACATAATATGTACTGTTAAATACCTCTTGAATTCTAAACCAGAGGAGCATCTCATATGATTGAGCAGAAATGTTTTTAGAATGCGATGATTGTGATTTTTTTCTTTTGTTTGTAAAACAGGTGTTGACTTCCAACCTGGCCAAGTGGCAACAGGAGAAGGAAGATCTACAAGAAAAATTGAAGTTGAGAGAACATCTGTCTCAAACTGCTGGCAAGAATGAAACCACACCAGTTCCTTCAAAGAACGTTGATTCAGAGATGAAACAGCTGCAGTGCAAACTAAAGGTGACAGAACAGATTATCCAGTGCTGAGGATAATTCGTATGAACAGTATTTTCTAACTGGGTCAAGCAGATATACGTATACTCACTTACGAATAGCATTTATATATTTTAGCCAGTGATTAGTTGCTTAGGTGTTAGATAACCTTTGATGTTGATTAGAAGTGTAATCATAAGCAGCAGAATTAAAAGGTACAATTAAAACAATTTTTGCAGATGAAATAGGCCAGATAAGGAGGCTTGATAGGTTTTTCCACAATGATTAAATGCAGCTTGTTGGAAAGTGCTGTGGAATTATTTCAATGAGAATTGTTTTGATTCTGTCCTTCCTTTAAGATGGAGGTAAGCAATAGCAATCTGTGAAAGGGAAGCAAAGAATGAGCTGATGGGGCAGCCCATGTAATGTAACAGCATTATGTTACTATTACTCTTTTCTTCAAGGAGACGTATGGGGTTTTTTTATTTGTATTTTTGTAGATTAGCCACTACAAAAATACTAACTTCTTGATTTATTTCATTTTTCAGTCTCCAGTGATTCTGTGATATGTGGATGATGTATAGATGCTGGACTGTGTTGATCTGAGAGTTTTCTCAGCAGGTGGTCTGGCTTGAACGTAGTAATTCTTCCTCTGTTCTCACTAAAGGAAATATATGTGCAACAATGTCTTAAAATTGAGGGGTTTTCATCGTTTTGTGATTAAAATTTGAGAAAAGACGAAAGGTCAAAATGGTACAGCTTCTTTTGCTGGATATGATATGGGATAGAAATGGGATACTAGCAAGCCGGCTGCTGAAGGATCAACTAGAAGAAAGGGCCATGTTACATGAGCAATATAGCTGGCTCTGCCTCTGCGTACTAGATTAGGTGTGCTAGCACACAAGATAGGTGGGGAGCGCTCAGACCTTGAAGCTTTTGATAGTAACCATGACATTACAGGTCTTGGTCATGGCATGCTGGAAGCATGACATCTAAATTCAAGGATTAATAACGGTTGGTCATGTTGAGGGCAGCAGGTGGTAGCCGTGAAAAGACACATAATTTTATCTACTTTAATTATGAGAAGGAGATCTTGAATGTTGATTTTACATTTGGGTTTGACTAATCTGCTTCTGTTGATGGTGGCTGGTACTTTAATTGGGATTGTTCCTTTTAGGTGGGTGTCCTCATTAGACAGAAACCTAGTGGTCAATTGCTCTGTGAAAGTAGGAAAAATTTATAAATCAGGATTTTTTAAAATATTTTTTTGGTAAAATACTCAAAGAGTAATATTTGTGCTAGAAGCCTACTTTCTTTGTCTACCATGTGTGAACTGCAAAATACATTGCTGAAAAAGCAAAGGCTTTTTGTTTCTGTAGCAGAGGAAACTTTTCATAAGTATATATGAATTTTATGTCAAAAATACTAACATGAGTTTTAATTCCTTCTGAAAGATGTATTACACTTTTAATATAAAAATAAATCATGTATGCAAAACTGCATGTAGAATAAACATAGTGTGTGACCCCAAGTCCGGATTAGTACGGTAAATTCACTGGTTGCAGAACTGGATGAGAATTTTTATGATAAGGGCCTCAAAAGCTACTTAAATCAAGTTACTGAAATTCTTAGCCTTACTTTGACCTAATAATTTTTCAAAAAATGTAAGTCTGACAAGTCGTTTTTAGCAGAAGAAACTGGCAAAAGTTCTCAACTATTGTTCCAGGATATCTGGCATACTTAAAAAGGAGATACAAAGTTATTCTCCTAAATTTCTGACTGTGAAAGAAGCAAAAGCTTTGCTTATAGTTCAAAATCTCAAAGGATCTGGGTTTATTAGGTTGGGGGTTTCTTTCAGAGCTCTCTTTGCAGTGTTTTGTTTGTGTTGTATGTAACAATTCCTTGTATCTTTGCCAATAGAAAGAATTGTGTTAAGTGTGGGTGGTGAGTTGGGAAGCAAAATACCATAAGCATATGTCTCTGCCCTGACCATGTGCAGAGGCTTACCTAAATGGTCTGTTCTCTTTAATATCTTTATCAATGATCCAGATGGGGGATCAAGGGCATCCTCAGCAAGTTTGCAGATGAGACTAAGTTGAGCAGGAGTGTTGACCTGCTTGAAGGTAGAGAGGCTCTACAGAGGGGTCTGGACAGGCTGAGTCAGGTGAGCCGAGGCCAATGGCATGAGGTTCGACAAGGCCAAGTGCCAGGTCCCGCATTTGGGTCACAACAACCCCATGCAGTACTACAAGCCTGCGGAAGAGAGGCTGGACAGCTGCCCAGGAGAAAAGGACCTGGGGGTGCTGGTGGGCAGCCGACTGAACATGAGCCAGCAGTGTGCCTAGGTGGCCAAGAAGGCCAGCAGCATCCTGGCTACTATCAGAAATAGTGTGGCCAGCAGGACTAGGGAAGCAATTGTCCCCTTTTGTTTATCACTGGTGAGGTCACACCTCAAATACTGTGTTCAGTTTTGGGCCCCTCACTCCAAGAACTTTGAGATGCTGGAGTGTATCCAAAGAAGGGCAATAAAGTTGATGAAGGGGCTAGAGAACAAGCCTTATTAGGAGTGGCTTAAGGAACTGGCATTGTTTAGCCTGGAAAAAAAGGAGACTCAGCAGGGAGTTACTGCTCTCTACAACTATGTAAAAGGAGGTTGTAGAGAGGTGGGGGTTGGTCTGCATGTAGGAATTGATAAGGGAAGACAAAATGGCCTCAGGTTGCATCGATGGAGGTTCAAGTTTGGCATTAGGAAAAATGTCTTCACAGACTGGTCAAGCAAAGAAGAAGGCTTCTCAGAGAAGTGGTGGAGTCACCATCCCTGGAGGTATTGAACAGACATGTAGGTGTGGTGCTTAACCTGGCAGTGCCAGGTTAAGTGTTGGACTTGATGATCTTGGAGGTCTCTTCCATTCCAAACAATTCTGTGATTCTAAGTATTCATGTTCGCACCTGGTGTGTAAGCCATGTAACTGGGTGCTGTGCTTTCACGCTAATGAAGCTCAAGCTCAGCAAACAGGTCTCTGGAAACTCAGGAATATTCTGCTAGCATACATCATTTTAACAATTTTCTGGTTATACCTCACATTATAATAATAGTAAATAGACTAGACAAGTTATTAAGAACAATATTTTACATCTAACTACGCACACAAGAATATATACTCCCCTTGAGGTGCACAGAGTTATGTACAGTACTCCCATTAATGCTAATAGGCGTTACAAGTCTGCAGTGAGTAGAGAAATTCTCCTGAAGTACCTTTGTTTACAGCATGTTTGATCTGTTCGCTTATTGTTTATACATAATGAGTAAAAAGCTTTAGCAAAGTGGCTGAACCTCCATGCATATATGCACATATATATGTTGTGGATACACAACACATTACGTATCTTTTGGCAAAACCTATTTGGAGTTCTCAAACCTCTGAATGCAATATTAGAGCTGCCATTTTCAGCAACAGCATACAAGGCATATGCTGAGAATGCTAAGATGGCTACTTAGTTCAAATTTTTTTTTTATTTCTGTAGAGTGATTCAGTTGTTCTGTATTTAAATCTTGGGTAGGTTATATGTGCGTTTGCATGGAGGAATTGAGGCATTTTTTTACTTCCTACCCATTCTCCTTCAATGGAATTACACATGCCTGAAAGTTGGGATCATGCCCTTTTGTTACTGAAATGTAGGATTTGTGTTAGTATGGACAAATAAAAATGTCTTTGTCTTGTGCTTTGAGTTTCAAGGGACAAAAGATATGTATCTTGTATTCCTAAATGCACAAGATGAAAGGGATTATTGGAAACTGTTGCTCTATACATGTAGGCCCCTTGTGCTGTTGAACTGTACCATTCAAGGGTGTAGTTCAAATGAAGGTCTAATTTTATTTCTCTTCTTTTCTGTCACTTTTTCAGCTGGCCATGCTATGCTAGTACAAATGTGGTCCTGATAGGTCCACTGGGCTTGCAGGTGTCCTGGGAACATCTATTAATTAAATTATTAGCTTATATACATACGTCATATATATATATAAATTACACTACATACATAATTAGAGCAGTGGAGAAGTACAGATTTTGATCGTATTTTTCAAGAAAAGTACTTTTGCTTAAGTATTGTTAGAAAGTAAGAATCCTCCTTTTGTACCAATTAATTTCTAAGAACATGCATAAAACGTGTGAAAGTTGACACAGCCCATTATTTCAAACAAATTTACTGTTGACTGCAATAATATTCCATCTGCTTTATTTATATTTTAATATTTTTCAATATAGAATTCAAATAATGAAATCACTAAGCAGTCGAACACCATTAAGTCACTAAAAAATGAAGTCCAGGAAAAAGAAGAACGGTTTCAGGAACTACGGGCAAAGTATGTTCTCTTTTCTATCCATTGTGTCTGGTGCCACCCTGTGGCAACTGTGTAATTCTTAAACGTTAACCCGTGAACAGATTTTAAAGAGAATGTTTTATTCTTCTTTTTATTCCAATCTTGCAGACTGTTACAGATTTATTTATTTATTTATTTATAGAAACTGGAACAGTACATGCTAAAATTGTGTTTTGTTTAAACTGATGAGTGATTAGCTAGCTACAGTATCTGTATTGCAATAAGAATACCTTAAATCAAAACTCAGACTGTAGTAGACTATTTTATCCTTGATGTAAGTCTAAATGAATTCCTTAGCACTGTTAAATACAATCTTTCAAACAGAGTAATTCTTTGCCTAGGGGCTAAGAGACATGTCAAGGTTCAGGTGCTTAAACAAGATTAAATATCCAGTCTCACATTCATAAAAAGTTCAAAAGGACAGTTGTAGTTGTTTCTATTTGAATTGATTAAGATGTACTACTCATTTTGAAATTCATATGTATTTTTGTGAAGTGTGTAACTGAGATATTTTTTCTGCCTACTTTAATTGAGCTAATACTGTTGTTCAATTGTATTGTTGTATAAGCATAAGCTATTAGTGTATCTGTGAGTTTCTTGCCTGTCCCAAAGTTTAAATCCTCTACCCATTCTATTTTTTTTATTTGTAAAAACAATGCAGTTTATTTATCTGAAATTAATTAATTTTAAAAAAAGAGAACTCTTAAAATTGTTAAATTCTTTATTTTCATTTTTGAAGTTAAATGGAATTTTTCCACCATAGGACTTAAATTGAAAATACAGTTACTGTTTATGATGCTTTCTTTATAAAATGGGCACTGTTTTTTCATAAACTGTTAAAATATAAGGTATAATCACCAAAATAGCATTAGTAGTATAAATGTGAAAGAGGTGGAAGAAATTTTAAGATGCACTGTTTCCCTGTGGTTTTTTTTATATGGTATTTGGCATCACCAATGTTTTATTCCTGAACATATTACCATCATTCATTTTGCTTTCATTAGAAAAAAATAAGCCAGAAGTCTCAATATACTTATTTATTGCCTATGTTTATATCTAAAGTATTAATTTGTATCACAGTGGTGGAGGCATTTTGTAAGGTATCATTTTCTCATTGAACATAGAGTATGTTGTGTTACATGACAATTTCCTTTTTTGAGAAGTTTCTGAAAAATGCTGATGTTGTTTCTAGGTTTTACAGTTTTTAAAAGTTACTATATTATCTGATATATTACAGGGATAGTGATTTTTCATGGATTTCTGTATGGTACTCAGTTGAACAAGAGGAGTCTTCCATCTTTCATTTTCTTTCAAAAACGTTTTTGTACCATATAGTGTTTGAATGATACCTGTCTGAGACATCAAGGAAGTTGAATTAATTAAATATTGTTTTGTTCAACAGATTTTGTACCTTTTTTTCATAGTAGCTTAAGAATTACTATGATTTCAGATCAAGCAAGTTAGAGCATAAACTACAGGAAAAAGCAAATCAAAATAAATTGCATATTTAGAAACAGTTCTATTTAATAAGAGACTTGAAACTGTTTTTAATGGTTGAGAATAGGGCAAATTTCAAGAAATTAATAAGCTTTTATTTAAAAAGATATTCTAAGATATAGGAATAATGATAATTTTTCTACTGCACTGATACTTTTTAGTTGTTTAAAATAGTTGCATATTAAAAATATTTCCTAACACTGACACGCAGCGTGATTCTTCCCTTGTAGGATTTCTCGACTGGAGAGGGACCTTAATATGAAAAGACATTTAATAGAAGACTTAAGGTCTCGTCTAAAAGCAAGTCAAGAAAATGAGAAAACCTCTAATGAAACATTAGAAAATCTTGAGAGAAAGGTACTTCTTTCTTGCTGTTGATAGTGTTAGGAAAAGCAAAAACTGTTGGATTTACAGAAGTTATTTCAACACACTATATATGCTGATCAATATATTGCTTTGAGCAAACAACATACAGTTAATTTAAGGGTGTATAATTTGTATGAAATCAGTATATGGTGATAGCTTGGATGGATTCAGCATAATATACTGTATGTTCATAAGAGGTATAACTGAAGTATTCAGAACACTGAGTTACAAGGGTTTGCTGTAAATTGTGAGAGTTATTTTTTGTCCATTGTAAGTTTATAAAGCACCTGAAACAAGGGTGATTTTACATTACATATGCTAATGAGGTCCATGCACCTCTCCTCGCTATAGTAGTTAACTGCTTTAATATGCTAATATGTTTTCTACTGCCATGGTATGAATGATTCACAGTTATCTTAATGTAATTCTATCTGTGTAGACAGAGCTTGATTTCCATAGCAAATTATTTTCTTCGGCAAATTTCTAGGATGATTTCACTGAAGCTAGAAGAACTTTCATATCTTTTGGCACCTTTCTATATTGTCCATCCAATATATTGCACTTTAGCCTTTAATACCAGGAAAAGATTCTGGCATTTTCTTGTCTGTGAGGTTATGCACCGTATGACCCCAAAATAGAAATAAGCAATTTACCAATTTGCTTCTGTTTTCCTAGAATGCAGAAGCTTGATGAATATCACAAGCACTATATCTGCTTGCAGTCATATAGCACTTTCAGCTCTAGAGAGAGCTACTGTCTTACCCTCTATGCCAAAGATAAGGTTTTAAGAAATTCACAGCCAGAGAATGAGAGCATAACTAAGCAAGTAAGCTAAAGTATGAAAAGGGAGAAGTACCAGGTTTTGGTTTTACATGGAAGATTTACAATGGAACAACGTACTTTAATGCTATTCTTCAAGTATTTTAAGCGCTGCATTTCTCAGATTTCAGAGAATAAAATTCTGTACTTTGATTATTCCATATGGAAAATTGACTTGATATATTTTACATTATCTTCAAGAGAAGATCAAAGAAATTCCCTGTTACTCCATATTGTCAGGAAAATTTTGTGATTAATATTGTCAGGAGAGATTAATGATTTTCTAGGAGCATCAGTCCATTTCATTTTACCCCAAATCAATGTCCGCATTGTATAGCAAAATTATAATAATTAGCCAAGAGACTTTACAGACTATTAACTTGTAGACAGTTATCATTTTATCAGCTCAGGTTTAATTAATGTTTTTACCTCTGATAGAAGAAATGAGTGGAAGTTGTGGTCTGCTCACTTTTACACACACTGTAACAGTAAAATATATATAAAGAGTTCTGCAAGTGAAGAGCTTTTCTTTACACTTAATACAACTGAAAACTTTAACAAGATTGTGCACAAACTGATCTCTAGTGGATCTTCAGTAGAGACTTAATAAAGACTGTGATTTCAGGAAGAGGTACTTCTTGATCAAATTATTTATATGATACAGGTATGTTTATGCAATGTAGGTAAGCTGAATTTTGACATTATTTTCATTTTTAATTTTTACATCTTAATAATCAATTGCTCTTGGCCGTTCATTATTTCAGGTAAAGGCACTGACTGAAGACTGTTCGAACAAAAAAACTTCCATTGACTCACTGAAACAAAGACTTAATGTAGCTACAAAAGAGAAGTCTCAGTATGAGCAGATGTACCACAAGGCTAAAGATGAGTTGGAGAAAAAGGTATGTTAAGAGTTGTGCTGGCTCCAGTGTGGAACTTTTTTATACCTCAGTTTCAAGTGAAAAGTTGCAAGGTCGTTGGCTTAGACTTTTTAAATATGGACAGGGGAAAAGAGCAGAATAACAGCAGTGTATTTCTCTGATTTAATAAAATCACATATCCAAAATTTAGGTGCTGAGACATAGACGTAGTGACTGAAAATGAAATTAGTTTCCCCCCATGAAAATTACATTTTATGTGTTGCAAGTAGAATGTTCTGTGATGTTAACCATGATCTGCTAAGCTAGTTGTTTGTTTGTGGCCTACCACACCTGCCTATCAGCTTTTATCATATTACTGCTGTTTGTCTGTGAATTTGTTTCAGAATCTCAAGCTTACCAATCTGGAGAGCAAAATGATAGAGACTGAAAGTGCCATGACTGAACTTGAGACAACCGCCTCTCAACAACTACACGACTTGGCTAAACAGAGTGGACAAGCTTTGGAAACTGTACAGGAGAAGCTGCTGCTCACCAGTGACAGAGTAGAACAGTTCATGACATTTGTGAAGGTTTGAGTTTTTATTTTCTTTTGAGTGTTTACCTAAATAAAGGTATTCTAGAGTGAAAGCAAAACATAAAAGATGAAATAAGTCTAATATTTCATGTCTTCCCTGTTCTGGAACAATCTTTGAAGTTCATGCACTGTCCTCGTGTCATCTCTGAACTCTTCCAAGCAGGGAAAGTCAATGGCTTTAGGTCTGGTCTCTCTCCTAGACTTCAAAAGACTTCTGTCATTCTTATTCGTCATATTTTTGTATATGGCTGCCAGTGATATTTGTTACCCAGAAAAAATACTTAGTTGTATAGCAAATCACTCTGGAGAAAAAACTTTGCCAGCACATTTAAGTAAATAATTCATATCTGTTCACTAGTGTGAATTAACTCATTTTCTACATGCATGTGCAGAAATAATATTGCAGAAATAATAAGGAAGCATCTCTATTGCAAAATTGAAAGCAGTTTTAGAAGCCATATGTAGAATATTATTTTTCTTACTTTGGTTAAGAATGTGCTACAGTGCATCATGCAGTAATCCTGTGTCTGTGGTGGTGTACAGATCACATCACCATTCTGCTTCATTGTGAAGTTCTGCAGAATGCACTGATCTGTGTTTTATAACTTAGTATTTGAAATATAAATATTATTTATTTTTCTGAGTTACCCACTACCTAACAAAGAATTATGATGCCTGTTCAGTATATATCTTGTCTTGAATTTAGCATATATCTACTACATAACTACTTATATACAAGGTTATATTTTACTAATCCATGAAACAGATCCACTTCTCTGCTGTTCTTGGGTTGTGGTAGAACTGCTTTCAGATAGGCTTGAGCAAGTCTGGTAGCACCCAAAGTAAATAAGCAGAGGTGTTTTGATGCACTGTAAAAAGAGGGCATATATAGTTTTCTCTTCGTTATAACTTTCCACTGTGGATTGAAATTTAGTACATTTTACTCTCTCTCTGTCGTCATCAGATGATGTCACTGTACATTACAGTTTTCAGACATCTGGCATTGTCCTGAAATCATCACATGTTCAGTTCAGTTGCAAAATTCACATCAGCTTTGTTATGAAAAAAGACTAAACCACATTGAATGCACTTAAAAATCCTAAATTCAAATAATTTAGAAGCTAAAATATATAAAGTGAAAGTTATTATTGACTTTAATGAAAAAATATGCCTTTTTTTGGAAGAGTTATTTTCTTTTTTAAGTTTGTTATTAAAATAAAGGTTATCTTTTATTTCATAATACTTGGGAAGGTGGTATGAAATTGATTACTGTGCCTCATGATTCATAAGTATCTTGTGTATTCTTGAACAAAGTTATTTTTCATGGGAGAAGACATGCTTTCTTCTAACACAGACTACTTCATCTAAGAGGAAGAAATGAGTGCTCTTTCCACAGCTGCTGGCTTATTTTTGGCTAAGTATTGGAAATTCTGAGTTAATATAATGGCTTGGTGTGGTTTGGCTTTTTAGTGAAATACTTCTGTGTTGTTGAAGACACAGAGACACAATTCAGTCTCCATTTGGGCTGCTATGAATTTTAGAATGACTTCATTGAATAAAGTGCAGTAGCAATTATAGACAAAGGAATTAAACAAGTGTTCATACTATCAATACTTTACATATTTCCATAATGAAAATTTTGTCAAAAAATAGAAAATGAGAAAGTAAAAGATCTTCTGATCTCAGAATTGTTTGTAATGATGAAAATCACCTGTTAGCTGCTATTGATATTCTTGATACTTCATTACTTGTTGAATAAGATGACAGCTTCTCTGTTAGGTACCATGAATATTGATTAGCATTTACATGGTTATACAGTATGTTAAAAGAATGTTAATATATAGTTTATCCTTAAATAATAATAAAAATAATAATAATAAT